GCCTCAAAGCTTTCCACTGCATCTCAATTCACAGATGAACACTCTTGGCACCAGGGACACTGGGAAAGGGGTTTGTTTCTACAGCTACTCTTATGTCCAGGATCTCCACTGACATCCTTAGTCCCTAAAAAACTGTATGAATTTGCATTTGTAGCTAATTTTAATAATTGTTTCAGAGTTAAATCTCAAGAGTACAAAGCTATGGAAGTGTTCTGATTTATTTTACAGTTAAACAGGTGTTTTTCGGTGTATTTTACAAATTCCTTTGAAACAACAGACTGTCAAACTCCACTTACAAAGTGAAGCCCAAATGGGTTAGATGCCTTTTGAAGGGGTCCACATGGAAGAATGGTGTTTTAAATATACATAAGTCACAACAGTAAATATTTACTACATAAATATGATACCTGAACAGTAAAAAAAAAAAAAAAAAAAAAAAAAAAAAAAAAAAAGAAAAGCAGTGACATTTTATGTTTTATTTGAACAACAGGGAAAGGGTTTGAGGAAAGAGGAATCACGGTGGAGTTCATAGAAAATTGCCTCCTTCATTTCACTTTTTATAGGGATCATTAGTCAAATCTGCTGGTGCATTGATGCACGCGCACTGCCCTCCCTGCCCCGGTCCGTAGGGGAGAAGGGCCGCAGCACTGCACAAAGGGGTCCGATGAGGTTTGAGGTTGCAATGCAATGCTCCTTTAATGGGGGTGCACAAGGGTTTTATGAGCTCTGGCTTGGAATGAACCAGAAAATGGGGTGGAGCACGAGACAGACAATCAGGGAAACGAATAGGAATAGGGACTCAGGCGAAGAGGGAGGAACGGGGGAGGAACCGGGGAAGGAAAGGGCGTAGCTGTCTCCTCTCTGCAGCTTCTTCAGCCAGTCAGAGAGGGAAGGAGGGAAGAGAGCACCACGAGGCATGTCTGGACATGCGTGGGCATTTACAACTGTAGGGGAAATCATACATATTTATAAACACATGATAACTGTAAAGTCCATATAATAAAGTCCTTTCAATCGCTGTATATCTTTTTTCATTCCTGAAATCGTTCCCATTCTGATCCTTGGTCCTCCACACCTCCCCTGAGCTTTGCCAGCTGACACCAGCTAGAGCCGTCTGATGTAATTCTCACTTTGCTCGTGCTATAAGCTTCAGCTATGTTTCTCACTATCTAAGTCTGAGGGGTAGAAAATAACTCTTGCTATCAGGAATAGGTTGTGAGCTTTCACTCAAGTCAATAGTTGAACAGAGGAGCAGAAGGATGGCAATGAAAAGGGCTGGGCTGCTTTGCCACAGGCTTTCTGTGCCACTGAGCAAGTCACTTAATCTCCCTGTACCTGTTTCCCAGCCATATGAGGGATAATAGCTTTTCCTTAGCTTATTGCAGTGTTGTTAGGATAAAGACTTTGAAGAGATTAGGTCCTGTAGCTGGAGGCTTTAAAAAGCACTTTGGATAAAAGAAAATGCTGAAAGCAGCCATGGAGGTCCCAGTGTAAACTGTACCAAAGCCACAGTGGTGTCCTGGCATCCTCCTGGTGTTTGCATCGTGCATCTCCCTTCCCTAGCCTGACTAAGAAAATAATTTCTCCTGTGTAGCTCACACATAGGAACAAAAATGAAAGTATATGTCAGGCAGTTTCCCAAAATATTAGGTACACAATCATCCTTAATGTTCTTTCAGCCAGTGCTGAAATGCAAAGCAGTAACACTGGATATCTCCACTTCTATCTTAATTAGAGTTGAAGCTCCCTTTAATTGTCAGAGCTAAGTAGTAAATTGCTTCCAAAATATCCAGGTGAGATGACAAATTTCTTAGTCATGATTTTGACCTACTAGTTTCAGGCCCAATTAGAAGAACTGAGGATGTCTGAGTCAGCTGAGACCATTTTGCTGAATCACTAGGATAGTCCCTAAATGTTTCTTCCAAGGTCGCTGCATAGATACACAGGTCCAGCACCTGCTTTCAGTCAGATTGCTCATGTGCTAACTGAGGCAAAATCTGGCATTGTGGGGACTGAAGGTATAACTAATGTTTTATAAAAAGTAACCCAGCTGCTGAGGCTCTGGGCAACTAGTGCAGTTGTCCTGCAGTGAGTGTACTTGGCACTCTCCCAGAGTTTACTCCTGTGCTCTGACATCACAGAGTGGTTGCCATTTAAGACTATTTGCTAGGGATTTATACTCTTTTTCACCAAGAGTAATAGAATTTTGTTCCCCTTTCAAAATTAATTTGACCTGTTCTTGGGAATGAAGATTCTCAACATCAACAGTAATTTTTTTTCCTTTTCCTAAAAATAAAAGTACAGAGATCTGATGACTAGGGGCCCAGTGATGGAGCTTTTATATAGATTTTGCATTCTTTTGTAGCTCCCCAAAATCATGCCAGACTATGAGAAATTATATTTTAAAGTTGTGATGTTTCATGTATTTCAAAAGGAAACTTCTCCAACATAGTGATAATGTTCTGCATAAATTTCTTTGAATAAAGCTTTTGAGAAATTATAAGCTGATATAACATGGTACAGAGGCAATAATAGAAGAATTATGTAAATGTAGGAAGAATTATGCAAATGCAGGTTGGACTTTCATTCTAGAATTTTGGTACTAAGATATAACAGAGAATGTCTATGCTTTCAAGTGATGGAGACCTTCAGTTCCTTTCTTTACTAGAAAACTTAGGTTCAAAGACAAACTCTTATTTGGATGCTTGTGTAGGACTGGAGCCACGTCAGCACACTGTTTTGGTGAGTGCCTTCTGCTCATTGCTCTGACCCACAGGGCCATGAGTGAGGCAGCTGCTGTTACTGTGTAAGGAGAGCACAATTCCAGAGACACAAGGTTTGGAAAGCATAGCTCTGCACTGCAGGCAGCACGTAGCTCTGGTTACTCTTGAATTAGATTTTATGTAATTAATTAAGATGGGTATGTTAATTACAAGCTTGCTGTGCCTTAGCATAAAGATTGTCATCTCTTCGCTAGTTACAGTAACTCCTGCTGGATGAGCAGGGCAGCTGTAAAAACACTGGTTTTCCCATCCCTTCCTCCCTTATGCAGGAAATGCCCCAGGAAATGCAATTGAAACTAAGTTAGATGGCAGCAAGGATGCTGGAAGAGAACAAACTAGGAAGTGTCTACTGTATGCCAAACCATTTTAAGGGCAGATTGGAAGGGCAAAAAAAACATGACAGTTACTGGGCAGAAAAGGTACATGGCAGAACTTTTGAGTTATCTCCTAGCTTTGACCAAGAACACCTCTGCTTTTATAAGCTATGCTTACAGCAAACCTATATGGCAGGGAAAAACACTTCTCACCTGTTCTGTAGTCTCTAGGATGCCAACAGTGCATAGCTCAAGAGAGGAGCTCTCTTAACTTTTGTAGTAGTGAAAAAATTCTGCTTGTTTTGATTGGGAAAATGCCCATTTATGTACTGAACTGCAAAGTTTTACAATTTCAATTTTAGCTCTGTTGTTGTACCAGGAACTCCCTTTGAAGTTGTTGTTGCTCCAGGGAAGTCTTGTTTTGCATTGTGTGTGATATATATTTTAGTCGGATTCTGATCCTTTGCGACAACTCAGAGTAAATCCTGTTGGGATGCTGGCCCATGGCCATTGATGGAGTGATTCCATTGCAGGTGGCAGCAGCATCTGGTTTTTATGTTTTTAAATAGATAGGTCCTCAAATGATGATGGCTCCATTTCTTTTCTTGCAACTAAAGCTTGATAAGGTCATTCTGACTTGCAGTTAAAAAGTGAAGTGTAAGTTACAGCAGAGCTGCAGGTCTGCAAACAGCTGCTCCATCTGTGGGAGCCTCTGAGGGTCACTGTTATCCACAGGGATCTCAGCCCTCAGGCGATGCTGTCAAACTGAATTCTGCAGCTTAAGGTACCTTTGGGGAACTACTTTAGTGCCCCTCAGCACTTCGACAGTGTATTAATGAGGCCATAATTCCAGCAGCAATAATCAGACCCCAGGATGTAAAAGGGAATGATTCACAGAGAAACACTGTGTTCTCTCAGTCTGTCACTATGGGATGGCATTGGTAATGCATGAGTGGGATTTGGTGATACTTTTCAGTTCACGTGCTTAGGGATTTCCTCTGCAGCTTCAGGAAAGGTTTTATTTCTCTGCAGGAACAAGTGACAGCGATCCCTTGGAGGGAGAGGCAGGTTTCACAGGTTAAAGTGTGGGTGTGAAAAATGGTGTTCAGGCCAGCAGGTTGATTTGTCTGTACTAATTCATACTCTGAGACAGACCGGATCAGTTCTTGGATTTTAAGGAACCTTTGTTTTGTCTTTTGTTATATAGCAAGCTGGGGAAAGTCAGTGTGGATGCTTAAGAAAAGAGCTGATGTGCAGGAGACCAGGGCTCTGTTCACAGCATTGCTACAAATATTTGCCTAGGGTCTGTGGCAGATGCTCAAGACAGGACAGCTGCTCTGGTGGCATTTGGTGACCACCAGTGCCAGAGATGACTAACCCCATGCTGTGTGCAATTCTCACCCCCATTGCCTCCTCTAGTTCTTTCTCCCCTGCTTTTGTTTATCTTTACTTAGTTAACTTCCAGCCAAACACAAAGAGCAGGAGAGTGCTTCACTCAGCACACTGAGAAGAAATACAGGGTCGCAGCCCTGGCTCCTATAACATTAACACAAAATGCTAAGTGTGTTTCCTTAGCGAGACATAAGCTCTGCCCTGCTAGTCAGGCCTGTGATCAGTTTGGCCATTGGCCTAACTTAGGGTAGATACTCTGAATTGTTTGCTATTTTAAAAGGCAGCAAGGGAGAGGAAGAGTTTGATATAGTCCTACCAAGAAACAGTGTAAAAGCTGATTGTGGCATGAGAAGGAATTGAACAGGAGGGTTGTGATCCAGGAACAGAAAACATGGGTTGAAACAATGGAAAAGTTCTTTTAAGAGATAGGTACTTTTTACCTGTTCCAGGAAAGGGATAGTGAACAAGTAAAGATGGTCTCAGTCATTTATATTCTCTGGTTTTGATCTAGGTCTGCTCCAGCTCCTACCCAAGGTCCCACCAGTGCCGGGGCTGCAGGGCCTTCTCCTGCTACCAATGTGTCAAGCAACAAACGGCTGCAGCAGACACAAGCCCAGGTGGATGAGGTAAGTGGCTCCAAGTGATTTGTTGCTCACCACAAGAGTGTTGCTGTGGTTATTTTTTTTCTTTAAGATGCTCTTCTCCATGATCCAGCAACACTCGTCTGAAGGCAGTGGATCTGGGAAATGAGGTTTATCAAAGATGGCATTTATGAGGAGCCAGGTAGTACAAGTGAGATTCTGAATATAAACATCCTTGTACCAGTAACAGTACTGCAGAATAAATGTGGGCATTGGTGCCAGTTTGGGAATTCCTCCCAGTCAGTCAGGTTAGGAGGATGTATTATAGTGGAACCAGCTCTTTTAATGTGTTCCCATGTTCCTAAAGGTTAGACACTAATCTCACAGACTTTCACAGAGACAACCTTTGACTTCTCAGAGGTAGATTTGTCAGAGAATTGTGCAGCTGAGGGCTGTGTTCATTAGCCAGAGCTCTATGGATTAATCATCACAATTTATCTCTAAAGAAAGGCACCCACACGTGATGTCATAACAGCTTCTTTAACAAATCCCCACTCCTTTTGTTGGTCTTGGAGGACCATCTGGCTGTTTCAGCTGGGATCCTTAAATTCCTGCAACACCTCGGCTGTAATGCCAGTGCCCATCCAACTGCTGTGGTGATGGGAATAGGTGAACATCCCACTGCTCATCGGTGAAGTTCTTGAGCATTCCAGCAGTACAGGAGCAACTGTAACATCCTTGCTCACCTGCTGTGCAGATTTGTGTGCTGGGTATTGAGGAAAGAATTTTGTTAAAGCCCTGCAAAGCCTTAAGTAACTTATTGCTTACTGTTCGTGGGGAAGTGGCCAGGGCTTGTTTGATTCTTTATTGCAAATTTAATAAAATACAAATGAGAAAACGTATTTACATGCATAAAGGCCTCTATGTTCAAAAGCTTCATGTATGCTTTAAAGATAGTAGAGACGACCTCACAATATCCAACTCAAATGCATTACTTAAGATGAATTAAATACACCTGTCAAGATGGGCTTTGTCTTTTTGAGAACTTTTTCTTTGCTGAAGAACTGAAGTGGGGACTTTCTGGCTGCAGAAATGTCAAGACCAGTGTAGGAGGCGTGTCCAGGGGTGCAGGGGAAGCACCCAGGGCAGGGAAGCCCAGGGGACATGCACCGGAATCGATAACCCCATTGGTCACAAGGTCACATGGTTTTAAGGGATAAAAACAGTGCCGGGTTTGAATTAAACTCTCTTTGATCACCATCTCATCAGAGAGCAGACTACATTTCTTTATTATATAAAGATCCCACGCAACAGACCAGGTTCTCTCATTATCACTGATTTTCACATCACACTCACTTCACTGATGTTAGTGGAGTGTCTCTTCCAGTGGGGAAAGGAATATTACATTTCAGCTTCTGTCTTTGGTCAGAATAATGAAATAAACTTCTTATCCTGAACATGTTACATCATAGTGGTCCTATAACTGTTTATGTGAGTGACAGCAAAGTAATTTTCCCTAAAAGATAAAAAGTAATTGCTGTTTATTGTCTAAAAATGAGTGATGCCTGTCAGATATATTGAGCTCTTCAAGCAGATCAATGGAGGTGGCTCCAGTGAGGCTAGTGGACCCCTGCTTTTTGCTTAAGATACTCTGTATTTTGAGACTTTTGACTCAGACCCGTGCAAATGCATGATGACATAATTTTGGCAGGAACTCTTACCCAGTATGAGGGGATTTGGATTTGAGGATTATGTGGGTGACATTCAGGATCCATGGGGTTTTTGCCTCCCATTTGGAGGCTGCAGTTGGTACGGGGTTTGAGTTTGATAGCACATGGTCAGCAGATCCTTGTTCAGCAGGGAAATCACAGCATAAGTGTAGCCAAGGGAGAAAAATGCCACTGGGCTTTCAGTCCCGTGAAGTCACTGGGGTGAGGCTGGTTTATAATACCTAAGAGTCTGGTCTGTAAACGTTACTTTGACCTTCCTAGATATTTCCTGTTTTTTTCTTCCATGTCTTGTGGGAAAGTCATCTGTAGGTGGCACCAGACACCACGGAGGAGTGTGGCACACTCAGCCTGAAACGGCAATACCATCGCCACTGTGCTTCAGAGAATATTCTTGGTGTTAATAAAATGACTGACATTTTTAATCCTGTATCAGTGCTGATACTGTATTGCAGCTATGTCCATGCTGGGTTTTCCCCTCTGATTTCTCTAGACATCTTCTAAGCCCCCGATCGTGGTTTTATTCTAGACAAACATTTATTTATTTGACAAAAATGCAATCTCATCTAGACAAGTGTTCACTGCAGTCAGGTTAGATTCAATAAATAGTTATGGGCAAAACAAAAATTGAGAGAATGGGTAGCAAATAGTACACTATTTTGTTCAGCATTTTCAGATAGTTCAAAATTTTCACTACAAATCATTGTACCAAGAGAAAATTCAGCAAAATGCTAGCTGAGAAATTAATACAATTTGTTCTTTAATTTGATAAAAAGTTAAATATTTGGAAGATTTTAGTTTGGAAAAGCAAGTAAGAAAATTTGGATTGACCAAAACACTTGATTTTGTTTTAGGTTTGGTAGAAAAGTGAAACAAAACTTTTGAGTTTTCAAACAGCATTTAACCCTCTGCTGGTCCTTTCGAAGTTTCTTTCACTACCAGTTTTCATCTCACTGTATTTGAATAATGTATCTTTTTAATTCTGGATTTTTGCAGGTAATAGTTAAATTATATTAGATAAAAATAACATGGAATTCCTTATGACCGCATAGGAGAAGTAATAGACCAACAGACTTATTCACTGCTTGAATGATTGGACACAACTTTACTGAGATTGTTATACTGTCTAACATTTGCATTAGTGATGAATTTCTAAAGGATCTCCATTTAGAGTTATTGTCTTGCTAGAAGAGGATTTTCATCTAACTCAGTGTATAAAATATTGTGTCCTGGCTGTGCATGCTTTGTTTGCTGAGGCTGGCCAATGAGGTGGGATGAGCTCCCTGCTACACTTCAGGCTGAATTGTCTCAGGTAAAATATTCTCCTCCTCCGCTTTCAAGCAGGACTTCAAATTATGGCTGGGAAATCATCTTGCCTGAAAGATCTGCAGAATGAGTAAATTCTTTGGTGAGGAAATGCATACAGTTCCCTTTAGAGTGGCCTTTATCTAGCCAATTTCACTAGTTCAGGTAAGGAAGATATTAAATATATAAGGAAGATATTAAATATATAAGGAAAATAATGGTTTGTTCTTAGTGAAGTCAACCAAATTGTAGTTTAGAGGTACTGGTCTCTGTCAGGTTTTTGTATCTATATTTGTTGGCCAAAAGAAATCAAAAACTTTAAAGGATCTGACTCTGGTATTTCATGATGTCTCTTTATATCACACCTGAGCAGTGTAGCTGTGCTCATCTTGTGCTCACTGTTGTTTCCATAGGCAGGGGTTTGGGGCACTGCCCAGGTAATTGCCACCACATATCATAATGGCAAATGGCTGGTTTTGGTATGATATGTCATATTCCAGGGTGTGAACATTCAAGTGACCTTCAGCTTTCCTCTGTGTGGGATCTCATGTGAAGCTGTTCCCTTGCAGGTGGTCGACATCATGAGGATGAACGTGGACAAGGTGCTAGAGAGAGACCAGAAGCTTTCAGAGCTTGACAACCGGGCAGATGCCTTGCAAGCAGGTGCCTCACAGTTTGAAACCAGTGCAGCCAAACTGAAGAGAAAATACTGGTGGAAAAATTGCAAGGTAAAGAATATAAATTCTTGTTGAGAATCACTTCATGGCAGGAATACTTTCACTTGCATTTAATTCATTTGCCTGCAGGATGGCATCTCTGAGTCATCTCTTTTTGTCAAAGGGAGAAGGACATGCCTTGCCCTCTGGGCTCCATAAGTCAAGCAACTTTGATCTTTACTGGACCCTAAAAATTCTGCAGTATATAAAATGTAGATACAAATTTCGATGCTTCAGTCAGTGCCTGCAGATAGGGATGGGAAAGCATTCCATGTCAGTTTATGTTCCCTGTGTGAATGATAAAACCTGAGCAGGTGCAATGAATTCTAGTACTGGAAGAAAAGAAGCTTTGTCCTTGTGGGAGATCAGCAACCTCTGGATCTTCCATTAGGATGGTAAACCAAACTAAAAAAAAAAACCAACTTGGTTTCACAAACTGCTGTGAGAAGTAAGGAAATTACAGTATTTTATAAAGAGGGGCCAATTAGGATAGAGCAGGACTTTTATCAACCTTCTCTGCTGTCTTCAAAGTCTTTAGCCTTTCCCAAGAACAGAGGGAATCTCACTCTTCCTTGCTTTTTCAGATCTCCTCCAGTATTTGTGTTTTCTGGAACCACAAACTTCAGCTCCACTTACTCATCCAAGATCCCATACCCTTGCTTCTTTCTACTTATGCACCACCAACATTAAGACTGTGACAAAATTTCAGCTCCATTTCCATTTCTCTTCAGTCTTTGCTGCTGACTACTCATGTCCACCCACATAAACCCACCTTTTCCCAGGGGAGAATCCCACATGTATCCCTTGCCAGTCTGTTGTCTGCTTTGTCTCTTCAATCCACAGTGCTATAAAGTGTAAAACAAGGCAAAATATTCTGGGTAAACTACATGCACAAACACTCCAGGAATAAGAGGACCTAGGTTAGAAATTCATGTGAGCAGTTCCTCTGGGCCTCTTCTACCTGCTGCCCAGTGCAGGAAGCAGGGCTTCTGGGAGCTACAGGCACAGATTTTGAGTGAGGTTCACCCATGTGACTGCAGTTCCCACAATGACCTACACTACACTAGACCTTCAAACCTACTCTCATTCTCCTTTTCTCATTGTCCCTTCTTGCTTTACCCTGACAAACAGAATCCCCCTGTCCTTCCTCTGGCTCACAAACTCTGGAAGGAGAGGGAAGTAATAAAAAAAATCTCCTGCAAGCCAACGGCTGGCTCTGTCCTTCAGACACATATTAGGAGGAATGGAGGCCTTGATTTGCCATGCTTAGGTTTGTTGGGTTTCAGTCTTTCCATTCTCACTGGGGTGATAATGGCACCTGGACTGCAGCATCCCTGGTGGCCTCGTTAGCATTCAGCAAGTCTCGTGTGGGGCCCTCTGCCCCACACAGCTCAGTGCTGGTGTGGTCTGTGCACAGCTGCCTCTGATGTACCTATTCCTGTGGGAGCAGACTTGTACTTTGCCATGAGTGATTTCCAGGAGAACATGCTGGAAACCATGCTGGTTAGCATGGGCTTCCTCTCCCAACAGCGCAAGTACACAGAGCAGCACCAATAGCTGGGAGGCATTAGACATCTCCAGCTGCCTCTGCACTGCCACGGGGAAACTGGGGAAGAGTGATCAAGGTACTCTGGTATAAAGTGGTACATGCCATGTGTGAATCCAGTCACTTAAATCACCTTTGGAGTTGTTTTACTTTGGAAACGTACTTTTTCTTTACTGCTGGAAATGGATGAGGTTGGTCACTGCATCTTTAGCTGACAGGCAAGAACTGACTAGCTTTGAAAAGAGGCTTATGACCATTGCTGGTGGTCAGCTGTTCTTCAAACTGACACTAACTTTGGGGCCTTAACAGTCTGTTTTAAGTCTTTTCAAGAATTAAAAGTATGAGGAATGAGTCACTAAGTAAAAGCAAAAACATTGAGGGGTTAATGTCTTTCATGTGAAAACCTGACTTTCTCTTTTTCTTTCCTATAATTTTCTTTTTCTAGATGATGATCATCCTTGGTGTAGTATGCGCAGTCATTCTCATTATAATTATAAGTGAGTAATTAATTTTCTCTTTCATTTATAATCTCAGTAGCTTGTGACTTAAGAAATGCTGCTATATTAAAAACTAAATCAAAACAAAAAAATGGATATTTAAAATATTTAAATATTTAAAATATTTAAACTGATTAATTTGTGAAATTTCCCTTCTAGTATTGTGCTTTTATAGTAAGAATTACTGCAAACTCTCTGGACACATATAGACAGAATTTGTTGACATTTAATGTTTTTTTACATTAGCATGTTACATAACTTTTCCTAGGATTAAAGACTTCCTTTTTATGTTTTATATAAATTTTTATGCAGTCTCAGAGATCTTCCTTTCATTACAATGAGGGCCACAGTCCTGTGTTTTCTACTGAGAACAGTAATATTTGAATTACCTCATGCCTATAAAAGGAGGGTGAAGCCCCACAGGCAAACAGGCATCTGATGAATTTTTTAAAGTGTGTGGGTGCCTAGTTCCCACCAAATCAGCTGGAATTTGAGATGTTAGAGTGCTTCTGAGGATCCCTTTGTATCTTGAATGCCTAAAATGTTGTTAAAAGATGGCCCAAAGTCTTACTGATTTATTTTCTCAAAAGATATCTCATTCCACGTATTTGTTACAGGAAAGTTAGCTATGAATGAATAATAGCAGTCGTGCTGGTTGGGACCCAGGGATCTTGTAATGACAGTAATTGAACATTTCATTTATGTAACCTCTGTGTTAGCAACAGCTGTTATGTGACATAACTGGAATATTGCATTAACTCCTAAGAGGAAGATTTCTTGAGTTAGACAATCCAGCTAGTAACCCAGAAGGGATTCACCAGCACTGTGGATGTGAGTTAATTCCCAACTCTCAGATTACATGCCTTGTATTCAGGGTGTTTCCATTTTCCTCTGTTGCTTCTCTAAAGAAGGCTTACAGAATCACCTGTAAACATGACTAAATGCAATGAGATACATGTGACAGTTTATTAGTCTTATGAATGCTGGCACCAGAGTGACCCAGAATAATTCTAGGGTTTCATAACACTGATACAGCAAGAATGGGAAATGGTTACATATTAATTAACTATATTAACTGGGTACTGAAGGCAACTGGCTTCAAGAGAAAGATGGGCCTTTGTTCTGCAGTCTAGAGCAGCAACCTGGAAAGACAGGTGTGCAGCCATTGAACTAATTGCTGTGTATATACTCATCACTGACCACTGTGTGTATCTTAATAAGAAAGTAAAAAAACAGTCAAGATAACTCATAATTCCTCCTTAGAAGCTAAGACTGAAATTATATATAAGTAATAATATAGTTTCCCTCCTTGTTTTAAATGTTGGATGCCTGTCCTGGTAAGTTGAGAAACAGCAGGTTTGACATGGGTTAGGTTGGGTTTCATCATTAAACCCAGGTCATGGCTCACCACAGTGAGATCTAGTGCAAGGTCAGTGAGATTTAAATGTATCTGGACCTCAAGTTCTTTTTCCAGTCTATTTGATTCTTCTCTAATAGTGCCTAAAGGTTGCAGCTTCAGGAAGGACTCTGTGTATTGAACTCAATGCTCTATTTATTTACAGTAGCTCTCAAGTATATGTTTAAATCCTATAGACATCAAGCATCCAAGTGCTGTCAGAGACAAGTCCTGCATGACTTTTCCAGTCCCTGATTTGAATGGGAACAAGATCATACCCTCTATGCAGGGCTGGCTATGGGTGCAGATAAACTGAGCCATTCCTCACAGCAACGAGCTACCATGTGTGGTGAAATGGCCCAAGCCAGGCTTTCTACCATCCTGGTAGTGGGGCCCTGGAAAAGCAGGCACACAACCCATGGCATTGCAGGTGTTGCTGGAGCTGATGATGGCAGCTACCATCACTGTCTGTCCTTGCCCTTTCTATCTTTTGAGCCACAGTCTCCCCTGCTTTCCACTGCAGTTTTCCCTCCAAACTCCTTCTGACATGGGAGAAGCATCCCCATTTCCCCTAGGAAGGAATACTGTGTGTAAGATGTGTTATGCTCTTTTAACTAAGATCTGCTAAAGATGTTTGCAATTCTCTGACATTGCACACTTCTGTAAGATAAAGCACAACAGTAACTCTGTAATAACTGTTGGGTTTTGTCTTTTTTTTTTTTTAATCTTTCTTTCCTTCTGCTTTGTTTCCCAGTTTATTTCTCCACTTGAAAAAACAAAGAAGGAAGACTTGGCACAACTTTGTTCATATCAACTGACAATATCAGTGTTCCTTTGTTGAACTCCGCTTTTTAATTCCTAGTGTCTTGGGATTTTTGCTTGTAATAACCCATAAGCATTCAGTGTGGTGTATTTTGGAATTCTGTTGTTTCCACAAGAAACTGTACCAGCTAAATACTGCCAAGTAGTTCCATACACTGTCTTATCACTGTGTCTTAAAATGTGTATGCACTGACCTTCAGAAACTGTAGTATATGAAAAGCATCCTAAAACATCTCAGAATCAGAGAATACAGTTATGGGGAAGCTCCTGCTTAAAGGGACACTGTCAGGTGCATTGGACCCAAACCTAAGGTTGCAGCAAACATTAGGGCCTTCTCAATCTGGGCACCTAAAGTTGGATGGCAAAATCCATTGTCAGATGTAACTTTTTGAGGAAGTATCTGCTACTCCCACTGAAGAGAGTGATACCTGCAAGTATTCATGTAAGATATCATAGTTCAACTTAGCTAACCAAACACAGATTTTCTGAGATTAGTTGTAGTATCCAAGTCTAAAACCATTGCCTGCAGAAAGTAAATAAGACTAGTTTATTATCTTCCATGGATTTAAATTTTTCCTTATGGAAAACACCTATGATGTTCCAAACAACGAAGATGGCCTCAATATGAAAGCCAGAAAGAAAACTCTATGACAACTAAAAAGCATTAACTAGTACAATCTTGGAAAATCCAAGTGAAGTGTAAAAATGATAACACAAGCATCATCGATGACTAAGATACAGTCTCTTGCTAAAAACTCAAGGCACTGTTTGTCAGGCTTCATGGGACTCCCGTGAATGCCAAACCCCAATAGTTAGGCCCTGACTTAAACCACATGAACAGCTTTGGTGGTGGCTTCCCAGCACAGCTGTAGGAAGCTACCTCTGCACCAGTGTGCAGGAATGGTCCCCACTGTGAGGATCGTTCAAAAATCAGGAAGAAGAAGGTATGAGGGAATAGTAGAGAGAGGCTGAGAAAGGGAAGGTGCCTAGCAAAGCTTTCCTGGAGAAGAGGAAGGCAGAGAAACACTGTTCAAAGTGGTGGTGTTAATAGGCTTTTAAAAATTGATTTTGTGTTTGTGTGTGTATAGTTCATAAACTATAGTGTCATCTTTGTAAAGTGCTCAGCTGAGATACCTATCATACTCAATTAGTTTAAACTAACATTTGATGTAATTAAAAGAAATTATATATTGTGGCTTAAGAGAAAGTTCTTGTATGCTTTTGTGAATTTCTTGGGGGTTTATCTTTTTAAAACACTGAATAGCTCAATCATAGTTAACCAAACTAAAAATGAATTATCAAATTTTCAGCCAGGCAATTCAGAAAGGGTCTTTTTAGGGTAACTCCTTCAGAATTTCTAAAAATAATTCATAGAATAAAATAAAAATAATTTGGTAGGCTGAGGGTTTTTTTGTCTGCAATTTAATTAGGGAATAGAAATGGTGGTAATAGTAGTGTAAATATTTCCACCTTGGAGTCTCTCTCTTGATAGGGTTTAGATTAAAAACATAGAGACCCAGACCTGTTTGTTGCAGTGAATCTATATACAAATTGTGCTTAAGCAGAATTTTGAAGAGAGAATAAATAATGATCAATTGAAAGCTTTCAATTGCATTTTTCCCTATTTATTTATTTATTACTTCATAGTCACATGCAGTTTTGTGTCATTAAGTAGTAAGTGGCCACAGTCTTAATGAGAGTGAAGGTTCAAAGTTACTAATGTGCCACTGGACTCCGTGGTATGCCCTGTTCACTTCAGTCCTTCAGCTGGGTAAGCACAGAAACAATTCTGAAATCCTCATGGGCCAGACAGAAAACTTGGCTGTCATGAAGGACCTGACTCTATGAGGTGACACAGCTGAGTACTATGTATCACTGAGCCTTCACTGGAAGAGGAGTAAGCCATCCAACTTCAGGAAACCTTTTAAACTACTAAGATAATTGGACAGCTGATATGAAAGAATTTTCTCCTAAGGGTGAGTCCTGCCACCCATACCCATGTTGAGCATGGGTTAATCCTCACAGGGCTTCTCTACTGAACGGATGCACAAGATGAAGACAGCTTTCACTGGAGCTGGTACAATCAGTAAGGTTTCAGGCTGATTTAGAGCCTTAACGTAGATGTTCCTTCTCCTCTGAAAGCCCGAACTGACTACTGGGATGATAGGGCTGCAAATACACATCCTGAGTTTGAATCCTCTAGCTACAAAGATGCAAAGTTCCCAAATGAAACTGTGGTGGAAGTGCTACAAGGATGCAAAGCTTACATCCTCCTAGGTAATGTAGATGAAGACAGTTAATAATCAAAGTAGGAGCTTTAGGTGAAAGTGGAGATGGTTGTGGCAGGTGTACTCATTATCTCTCAATGTAACTAACGAGGATGACTCCTAAACCTTAGTGAGAATTTGCAAGGAAGAACCCAGTCAAGAAACCTACCCTCTGGTGGGTTGTAAAATGTTTGTGAAGAGACTGTTTCCTCCTGATTGCTAATGAAATATGCTAAATTAATATGTTTAACTCTTTGAAGTTGGTTGCACATAGTGTGCTCATGAACGCTCAATATTTGCTACTGGTTGTGCTGTAGTGGTTGGTTGCAATTGGTAAGATAAACCATGTAACCTTTCTGATTCAGACCAGGGATCATAAACAAGTGTGTCCTTCCCTGAAACACAGACCCAGAGCTGTACTGCTCCTGCAGAGGGTTAAATCTTCACCAAGGAGCATATGGTAATATAGGACTGTTCAGGGTCATAGGTTGTGCAACAGCATCACATATGTGTAGACTGATGCAGAGGACAATCTATATAAACACAGTTGGAGATCTTATGTGTGGTGAAGCCAGGATTGATTGCTTTCTACTCACTGCCTCTGCATTTAAAATGTGCAGTTACAACTGCCCACCTGTAATAGTAAATTTTCCATGAACAGTTTAACTCATTCTTGTTCAGTCAGCATTGATTAGAATTTCAATTACTGGGTAGAATTTCAACTGCTGCCCTTCATCACTAAATACTGCCCAGGCTCTCACCTTGGGCTGGTTAAAAAGTCACAAAAAGGCTTCCTTTTAGTGACTCCCCAGCAAACCCTCAGAAGACTCCAAGGCCATTGGTTTCTGACTGCCACTTTGGGGACTGAACTGAAGACTCCTCTGGTTGGAAGCAATGCTTTAGATAGCTTCAGCCAGAGTTTGACATTGCTTTAGATTTGCATATTCCATCCTTATAAGAAGCACTTCCTCTGCTTTCTGGGCCATCCAGCTGTACACATCTGGGATGCTGTACAGCATGAGCTGCCATTCAGACACGGCACTGCTGAAAGGAGGTGGTTGGAAGCTGGTCAGTGCCTGTACCATGGCTGCTGTTTGGCTTGGCAACGATCCTATGTCAGCATCTGAGCTTGAGGATGTGCTGTTTGCATCCACTGTGCACAGGCTAGTGAGGTCCTGCTTGGGCATTACATTTTCTCTCTAATTTAGCTTACCTTGCAGTAACATGGACGTGGCTTTAAACCTACAAACATTGTTACACAGAACTTGGCAGGAGAAGGTAGTGTGGAACCCATAGGAGGTACTTGACCCGATTTTCACTTGACAACATTATGTAACAGCACAGTCAATCCAACATAGTCCAACGTAATCCAATACTATTAGAAGGAGGATGGGAGAATCTGATAAAGATTCTGACTCTAACCTAGGGTTTGTAAGGCAAGAATTGATTTAGAAATGTAGTCAGTTGTATTTTTAAAGCTGGCACTTTCATTCTATTGGAACCTGGATGAGGTTAGCCCTGGAACAGTTCAGACAAGTAAAATAATTGTTTGGGGTTTTTTCTTTTTAAATAGTGATCTGCAATAAGTGACTTAAACACTCACAATGATGGAAGAACAGGGCAGTATTAACTGTGCAAGGAATGAATTAGAACAGCCACAATCTGCTGGTTTTCTATGAGTAGCAAGACCTTTTGAAATTCTACCATTTCTGTGTCTCATTTCTGTCACTGCTCCTCTGACAGGGCTTCACATAACTTTAATTTTATGAACAACTGGACTACTTCTTGTCTGAATACAATGGATTTTAGCTCTTAAGAGCAAGTTCCTGACGACATCAGTATTAGAGCATGCCTGCAAAATGGAGATGTGCATCTACCACAGCAGACTCAAATTTCAGGAACTTTTAGAAGCTCAGATGTTACTCAACTCTCATGTTTTACAGAGTAAATTTTTCTCTATTCCATGGGACGTTATCCACAGAGTGGGAATACATATAATCTATTATTTTTTAGTGACAGCACCGTGATTGCATATGTTAGTGCCAGACCATCACAAATAAACTAGAGAGCACTTGGGTATGATCCAGGGTTTAGATCTCAGTCCTGCTTCTCCTGCCCCTTAAACAGGGAAGAAGGCTAAACCAGCAGCCATATAAGGCACTGGGCTTCCTCCCAATGTACACAGTGAGTATTGGAGAAAGGCTTCAAAGAGACCAAAGTCTCTTTGCTCTGGATTTTGTCTTGACCTGAACTTTAGACCCATAACAGATCATAACCTTTGGGCCCACTGTAATCAGAAGACTGAGATGCTCTTCCAGCCAGTTCTTCCTCTCACCTGATTTAGGCCCCTCTTGCCAGACAAGATACATTTGAGCATGTGTTTCTCCATGGAAGACAAAGCACAAGCACCCTCCAATTACCTTCTTTAAAAGCAAAACAAAAAAGGCTGAAGAAAGTAGTTTGAAAAAAATGAATTGGAGCTAGAGAAATGATTGGCTGAAGGTTTCTCAAATGGTAACATTATTTTCAGGAGGAATACTAGGTTGGGATGTATGAAACAATCAAACCAGAACCTTACATTAACTGTTCTTTCTGCATCTGGTCTCCTTCAGAAATACTTCTCTATTCCACTTCAGGAAAGGATTTTGTTTTCTTCAGCTGGCTTCCCTTCCTCTGTTCATTAATATGTGTCAAAATTGATGTGCTCAATAGCTTTTTTTCTCCACTGAGAACCATAAGACTCTCTGCCTTTAAACACATGCATAAAAAGATATCTGAGCCACCCAAGGAGTTTACCTTCCTTTCTGATGCATTGACATTTAAAAGCTACATCTTGCAATAAAGCAGAAAAACTGTGGCAGTCTGGTTACATGCAGTTTTGGTGGAGTAAACACTTGATTATTCAACAATGAGTCATTCCTGCAGTAACCTCATTCTGTCATGACTGTATCACATCTGCTAACTCTCCAAAGCAAAACCCATAACCTGTACTGGTTTAAAACATGAATACAGCCTCGTGGTTCATACATAACACTCTATTCAACCAAAGAAGCCATGTGCTATAAGTTTAAAAGGGCAAAGTACTTGTTCTCCAAGAGAAAATATCGTATAAAACAACAAAGACAATTAGGAAAAAAAACCTTCTCCATTCTTTAGCTCTTCTCACAGTGTCTGGTTTCTTCATTATTCAAATCTCTTTGTTCTCTTAGAAAGCCTTCATGTTTTTGGAGTGTAGTGTATTTGGAACATGGTATATTGGGACCAGGATTGTTCTGCCTCTCAGTTGACTCTGTGTCTTCTGCCACATTCTTATTGTTGAGCTCAGTCCAAGCTCAGGTAGGCCTTGAATGGAGCAGAATCTCTTCCCCATAATGCCCTGCTGTCCTCAAACCAGCCTTCACTCTCTGGACAAGAACACTGGAGGCAGAATATGCCTCCTGGGTCTTAATTTGGTTCAAAATTACGTGATACAAAAGAAGGTTGCTGGCTGTAAGAAACAGCATTTTTACTCCACTACTTTAAATTGTATCACTGGAATTTTAATTAAATGTATTTAACACTTCTTGTAACAATAATTTCATCAATTTTGTTGAAAAGAGAGGAAACATTAAATAAGGATAGTGTGGTAATGACCATATAGTAAATTGGGAAATGGTTTAAGTGAAATGTAGCCGACATTCAGTAAACTCCTTTTATAAGTGGCTCTATCTAAGAGCACCTTTTGTGTGTTAAAATTAAGAGGTGCTCATCTATTGAAGTAAATTTACCTACTTAAAATGAACCATGACAGATGGTTAAGGTTTTTTTCCTTGAAAATGCAGGAGATATATGCAGGAAGGATGATCTAACATTTTTTGCAGAGAATGCCATTTTGCTTAGAGTGCCATTGGAGTATCCAAAGACATGCTGCAGAAGTGGTCAAGGACTTCAGTCAAACAGGACTTCAGAGCACTTGGTGCAGTAACAATACACCCCGAGTGCCCACTTTGTTCTACAGGTCTCTGTAATGGAATTTTTTTTACACAGCATGATTATTTTGCTTACCCTCATTCCACTCTGGTATTTACGCTTGTCCACCAATAAATGGTCTAAGCAGAGGACAGAAAATGACTTTGCTGAGTCCACTACATTCCTGTCATGTATATGTGAACACGTGGTGGTGGTCCAAGCTTTCTGTAATGAAAAGTTTAAAAGAATTAAATCAGTTTCTCCCCCTGATACATTACAGGTTTGTTTAAAGACAGAGCAAATAATGGCAGCTGCAATTATTTTCTTTGTAAGATCAGTGATTGAGATACTGCACGTAATGGAGCTACAAATTCACAGATACACAATGCATAACTTTATTTTTTTCAGAAGTTTAGCTATTAATTTTTATAGTATTGACCTGAAATTTGCAACAATTTCTTTATTAGTGAAAGTAGTCTTGGCTGACACCAAAAATTTGGTGGTCAGGGTGTCTACCGTGCCTCTAGTAAACTACTAAATAATGCAAGGTCAGTCTTTCATGAAGCTTAAAGGGAAAAAAATATTCTGAATACAAGTAGAAATGTATGGTAAAGACCATGGGTATAGAGTTTAACCATTACTTTATTTAACTATTATTTAAGGAATTAACAGCTAAACAAATGGTCAAATAAGTAGCTTCCAAAGCCTAATTATAGATGAAAGAATATTTTTTCTCATTAAAAATGCTTACTTCAATCTATGTTACATTTGCTTTTTCCCCAAACAGTAAAATGCTAGTGTTGCTACGACACAGTCACAGGTCTGCACAATAAAATATTACAGATAGCCCACTACTTGTAATGAAAAACATTGTTATTTTGTCTTGTAAATGAAAAGTCCTCCATCCCCCAACCACATACGTGGTAAAATATTAGTCACTTTACACTTATCAGCATCACTGAAAGATTAGAAATTAGTGCCTCCTACTCATGAGCAGGACTTGAAAACATGCTTTATCTGTTGCAAAAATACATTCTGAGGGGGAAAACACCAACTGTTGTAGAGGTTAAATTTTTCTTTGATGACTCCTATTCTTTTTTCCTCCCCCTTTCTGAAAGAAGTGCTTATATACGTAGACAGGCATTTGCCTCTTCCCAAATATGAAAGAGGTTAAACGTAGCCAGTATGTACTTTGAGCAACCTTTAGTTTGTTTTGCAGCATAAAAAGTTTTCTAAGTGGCAGTATATGAACTCTTATTATAACCTTGTTATACTCATTGCAGGAAATTAGTTCATAGCCAGCTAATTAGTATTTTCCTTAATGGCACATGCTGGAGTCTTGACACAGAAGAGCAGCCTCTGGAGGTGCCATGTAATCAATTCAGCACTGTGGTATTTCACACTTGCCAGCCTCGAGTGAGGAGCAAGGCATGCCCTGTTCTGGAAGTGAGTTCCATATGTGCTTAAGCATATAGTGAATTTCTATTCTCTGTTTAACACAATAAAAAACCACCCTCATTTTGCCTTACTAAATGCAGGTCTGATATAGAATCAGTGCTGTGTCCTAATTCAGGAAAGGAAAAGCCTTTCACTGAATGATAGAAAGATTAGGTAGAGAAAGACCCCCGGCAGTTTGCCTGGTCCAATGTCCTGCTCAAAGCAGGGCCACCTTTGAGGTTGGATCAGGTTGCACAGAGTTTGTCTTGATGAGTTTTGAAAATCTCCAAGGCTGGGGATTCCACAGAAAATTCTGCCATTGAATATGTTCTCAGCCTTCCCAATGGTGATAAAAGTGCAGTATCCACCTTCATAAGTATATGTGGTTTATATTTTTGCCTTTTTTTCTGTTGTGCACTGAACTGATTAGAGTCAAATTCAGATCTAGTGGGAGTAAGTGCAACCCCATTTTTCAAAGAACTTCCATTGACATCAAGAACTTTTCTTTGTTTCTTATTGACATTGGACTGAGCCATCTGATCACACTGAGGAAATCAGTGCATTCTCTCCCCTCTGTGTATGTGAGCCTGCTTCTCTGACACTGAAGCTGAGAATAGGACAGATTCAGGACATCTGGTAAGTCTTGTTCTGTACTCTGAGGTCAGTGGCAAAACCTAGACTGGCACCAAAGAAAGAAGAGGATGTACTGAGATTACTCTTTCTTCTCACAAGTCACCTTGGCAATGCCATCCCTCTTTCAAATGCTGATGGAATGGCAATGCAAAACAAAAGCCTTTCTTCTACCTCTTTCCTTGTAATTCTTCAAGCTTTATTTCATGTAATAGGAATAGTGAGAAATAAGTTTTCAGTTGCCCTTTTAAAAACCCAAACTCCAGACCAAATTTCTAATTGCATTCTTTCAAAGGCCACACAATAGCGTTAAGCTCTGTAGTAATGCACTCGGAAAGGACCTGAAAGCCTGTGCTGAGAACAGCATCTCTCACCTCAGTCTCGGTTGTGCTGAGCAAGGAGTTGTGATTTGTGCCTCTACGGAAAACATTCGATTTACATCTTATTGGAGCTATCTGGAGAGGAAAAATAATGTTGTGGAGACCAGGACATTTCTTAAAGTGCTTTACCTGGAGGTCAGTGGAATTTCATTTATAAAAGATGAATGCATGCATTTTGATGCTAAAATTGTGATGACTTACAAAGTTTGATATTACTCTACTTTTCTGTGGACAGTGATTTTTTTGAAGTGGTGAACATATTTTCCAAGAATATCATAGACATTTGTAACATGTATGTTTGTGCCAATAAATCTTGTTTTAAGAAGCTGGTTTTCGTATCATTCTGTTCCCAATACACACAGATTAGGGACAGTTAAGCAGCCTCAGCTTTCGTTCCCTCTCTATGTTACGTGCTAGAGGCTTCTGGAAATGAAGATTTTCTAATTCACACTGAGTTTTTATATGTTTGGTCTAATAGAAAATAAAAAATACACTTCTGTTGTATAAACAATAGTGAACTCTGTCCAAAAATGTACAACCACCATGGAATTGTGAAGAGGAGCAGGTGGAAGCATGTGTTTAGTGCATTTCACCTTATTCTTCACTTTCTCAATGGTAACATGTTTTCCTTTTAACAGGGCACAGTTACCTCAGGGAGCTCAATGTTATGAAATACTGTTAGTTCACCAATTTGTACATTGGACAATAAGGATTTTCTGTGAGAGGAAAACAGACTCTCTTGCAGGGTTCTCTTCTGCCTTACCTTGAAGCAGCTGGTGCTGGCCACTTGTGTATGGATTAATGGGGCAGGGTAACTGTTGCCAAGGTTATTCCTAATGAGTAATTAAATCCTTTGAAGGGACAAGACTTGGAAGCTGCTTTTCTCCCCCTGCTAGTGCCTACACCCACATTTTAAAATGCATCAGCATCACAGTAACTCTCAGGTAGCTCTGCACTGTCATGCATATGGGGCATTATTCAACAGCTCTTCCAATTTTGTTGCAAATGATTACAGAACACATAAAAGGCACAGTATTGTTTCTCCCCACCCAAACGCACAAAAACCAGGTAATGTCAAGATGCCTTCTTGTATGACAGTGCTTTATTAGCAAAATTATAGATTTTACCTTGGTAACTCAGTGCACGTGGCAATAAATTGGGGACACTTTGAGTCTATAAGGAGGAGCTGGGACAAAGCAATCACTGATTTCATACAGTGCATATTCTGATCTATGTGAAATAGCAAATAAGGACGAAATGAGAGAGTGAATTAGGTGGACTTGTGCATGTGAACCTGATATTGAAGAACAAAGGGAACTGATCAAAGCCAAAATGAGGCTTATTAAGAGAACACAATGGGCTAATACTCCATTAGCACTCTTACAGTCAGGTTGTGTAGTTAGCTCAGTTTTATTGAAACAAAACATCCCAATTTCTGACTTGAGCTCACAAAGAATTCTAGCAAATGATAAAACAGTGTGAAAAAGAAATTATGTGTAAAGTAATGGAGAAAATAAAATGGACATGGCATAATCAGTAAGATTATATGAAAAATCTAATGTATTTTTCATTCTGGTCAGATAGATTTGCATAATTTATAGAAGTTCAGGGAGCAAAAGGAAGAACTCTTTCTTAGGGGTTATTAAGTTACGTGGGGTGAAGAGCCCTGGGACTTGGATGTAGTCTGGAAAGTCAACAGAAGATAGTTCAAAGACAAAACCACCCTTGAAATGACTGCCCGTATACTTTGCTTTGTGAGCTGAAGTACTTGGAGATAAGTGAATGAATGACACTTTTAAGTGCTCCTGACAGTTCTAAAATTCAAAAAAAAAAATAATCTCACATGACTAAAGATGGTCAGAACTGCAATCTGAGATGAAAAGCTGGTAATCTTGAGACTGCTTAGAGCTCTTTATGAGAGTGAGGCAGTGGTGGTAACTATTGTAGAGCCAAACCATTTTTTTTTTTGCTTTCCCAAGTGATTCAAATTTAGGGGAACGTAATCTTGTAACACCACCTGTGGTTTGGGCAGCTACCATCAAAAGCTCTTACCATGCATGATGTGGTAGACATATTAAATACATTTTACTATGGGAATTTCCTGGCACCAAAAGCACTAAGTTATTGCACTTTTAAGGCAGATATTAGGATGATTCTGCAGAAATAACACCTTTGCCTTCTCCCTTATCATCTGAACAGTCTAATTATAATTTAACAGATGTTAACTGACTGCTTTACAAAGGCAAGTAAAGACTGGCATTTCTACTTTCTGTTGGCCATAACACAGATTTACCCTGTTGAATGCAGTCAGTGAGTTTGATAATTTGACTTCTAGTACTTATCTAATAACTGGCAGGTAGTTATTTTTACTAGAAGATGTACAATACAACATCAAGTTATTTACATATTCTCTGGCTTAGCCTAGAAAACACCTGCTCTGTAGTCCAGCTTCACCAGGGACTGGAAACACTTCCCAATACCATAGAGTGCAAGCTTCTGTGATATAATCTGTAGTAATCCATGACAGTGCACTGAAAGAGCTGGCTAGATCAGAGGTGTTGCCAGCATCATACAGCCCTGCACCAATACAGGCTTCGTTAAACTTCCTTCCTAATGATCCAAGAAAGCTACAACAAAAAGCCAGGCTCTCTGATTTTAGCTGTCCAGCAGTGCAGCCACCTGCCTGCTGCAGTGCCCTGAAGTGACTCTATGCCAGGCTCGGGAGGCATCCGGTCAGCCAGGCTTATGGCCACCCCTTGGTGCCCAGCCTGGGCAGTGGCACACAGTGGCAGTCGATGCAGCAGCATTGGGCTGTGACAGCATGGGCACTGTCAGTCACCTTCCAGTGAATTTATTCTTCCTCTCTGCTTCATCCCACTTGTTCTCTCTTTCATGATGCTGAATGAAATATTGTTCTCCCTCTTGTCTACTTCTCAAGTAATTTTTTAACTCTTAAGTTCCCCACTTGCTCTGTGGAAAAAAGTAATCAGAAGATTTGTGTCTAGCCATAATGGTTGCACACTTTGACTACACCATCAAGGTATTTGCATTATCCTGATGCTTCCAGGGCTGCTTCCTACACATTGACATTCTCTGTTTTGGTTTTGCTCAGGTTGGACTGATAATGTTGTCTCATTTGTCATTAATAAAATATTTCTTCTTTAAAAACAAGTATATAATATAAATGCACCTTTGTCTACAAATGAAAGACTTTAAGTTTCTTATGTGTTTAGGTCTGTCTTGTACTCTTGCAAGCATTAGATAATGCTGCATCAATGTGGAGAAGTACCTGTTGATCCCTTCATAGAATATCTCTTAAGTCAGGAGCCAGTGTGAAGCATGTTGCCTGCAGCTGTCTGTACAAAGGCTCCCTGTGTCATGTGCAGCATGGGAATGACCTCACCAGCTGAATAGAGCTACTGAACCAGTTACAGATGTAGTCTGACAGTCACAGAACAAACATGACTCATTTAAGAACATTCCTTACCTTCCTTTTTAATAACTGGTTTCTCCAAAGTCAGTAAACTAGAACTGAAGGGAGAACAAAGAGTTCTTCAGTGAGCTCTGCAGGGTTCTCACACACCCCTTGCTGCTCCTCAGGAGCACATTTGAAACAACAGTCCCACCACAATTACATCTTCTCTGATGGTGCCCAAATTCGCACAGTGTAATCACCTCCAGCTGCAGATACTGACATGCCACTACTATAGAATACTATCCAGTAGTGGCAATAGTAATGCCAATACTAATGAGTGAACTGCACTATGTCCTGATTTAAAACCAAAAAGCTTTAAAAATACTAAATGTTCATGTGCTGCAGAGAACATCACCCATGATTATGATAATAACAGTGTTGAGATGAGAACAAGGTTCTGAAAATAAGGAGATTTGTGTCTAGTTAGGCCATCGAGGCTGGGTATTATAACTTCACACACAAGCATGCTCAACTTTCACACTCAGTTTTCTTAACAAGGGAAATTAATTCCTGCTATGCCTTTGCTCCTCCACCTTGCAGTTTACTTTATTTGTAAGATATTTTTGGTATTATAAAGTTTTAACTCCACCCATGCCACGAACAACAACAAAAAAATCTTGATTATATAAGTGGAACTGAGGCTTTATCTCAGATAAATCCATTACAGCATGCAAATAGCAACATAATTTTTTGTGTGTGCAATACACTAGTCATACTGGTCTTCTCCTATTGCTTCAGTGTGATTGTAGTGGACTGATACTACAGTATTAACTCTGTGGTATCCCAGGTTCCAAAGTTGGAAAAAATGGAGTGCATTCATTTCACTAGCAGTGGCTGTGTCTGGAGGGCACAGTGCAATTCTGAAGTGTATTTGGTTAGTGGTCCTCCTACACGATTCATTGTACTGTAATCCAACATGTGGCTGAGGAAAAAGGTTTTTCAAACAGATTTGACTTCTTTAAGTGATAATTGCATTAAGTCAGTGTGAATTGCAAGATGCTCCATCTCCACATGTGAGGTGTGGTGTACGGCCCCATGATGTGTTAAGTGCCATGTCTCTGGTTTTGAGCACTGATTTGTATTTCTGAAGGACTTTAGTCTGAGCTCTAATGATCAAGTTTGCAGTGAGGTAATAGTTTACAGCTAGTGACACAATGTGCTTTAATTGCATTTTAGAGCTTGAGAAGAGGAGATGTTGTCTCAGTAGAAAGTCAGCGTATGACAAGAAAAGTTGATTCACTGGTTATTAGGTTCCAGTGAAGTATAAAATCTGTCATTTTAAAAACATTCCCTTTTTTGGTTTGCTTTTTGAAGCACCTTCAAGAGTAGCACACGCATCCTCTCTGATTAGGCCAAAACACAGCTGAAGCAGATTAGCCCAGTCTTTAAATACAAGCTGTTAAGTTTAGTCATAACACATGTTGCTTTTATTACTCCTCTTAACACAAGTTAGGTAATTCTTGATAGGGAATCCCAGATAGGATCATATGCAAACTAACATAGTAAAGGTATAAAGTTCTTCTGCAAAGGGAAATTATCCTGGCACCACCAGTTAGGAGGATACCAGTGACAAGGAACTGCAGTGGAGACCAGCCTGCCCAAACCTGCCGTGTGCTCCCAGCTGGAGGCTCTGCCAGAACAGGATCAATGATTCAGCACTACTGACTTGGCTCTTCGGGTGGGCTTTGCATCTGCTCTGAGCTCTGTACCTGTCCAGGGAGTTTCCACTGCTCTGAAGCTGGCTTGAATATGCCTTCATAGGCTGTACCTACAATCAGATGTACTCTAAGGCTGCCCCAAGTCACTGTTTTCCCTGCACTGTATTCATTTAAAAAGAACAACAATGCT